AGGTTTGAAGAACACCTTCGCCCCGAGTGGTATCACCATGCCTGGGAATTCGCTCTTATGCAACTTCAACCATGCACTGCTGCCATCGCTCAGCTTCTCGATGTTCAACAAATGGCTTACGCACTCCACTGCAAATGGCCAAAAACATGGTGGTAGTCCGGCTTCTAGTAGGCATGTCGATGTGGTAAGCATCATGAATTGATTGTTTCTCTCGGCGAGTGAATTGTTCTGGGGATGTCCTGGAAGCGACTGGTCTAGTGGAATCCGGAGTTCCTTGAGTGCTGCTTCAAATTGTGGCGCATCATCCGAGTAAGCGTTGGTGATCTTTCTCTTACCGATATAGTGCTTCATCGCCTGCACCACTTCGTCACTATTGCTTGCTTTCAAAGGATAACCCCATATCACACCAGTGAACCGATCTCGAATCACCAATACATCCTTATCCGGCATGATCCCATCTCTCGCCATCTTCTGAGTGTTCATGAGATCGAAAGTGATAAGGTCACCGAATGCCTTCAATTTCCGTTTGAAAGCTCCCTTGCTAGTCTTGTAGTGCTTCATCTTTGCTCTCACACATGATTTGCAGTATGGGTTCTTGTATCGGTGCGTCATCAGGTGCAATATGGATTTCGCCTCGTTCTTCAGCACTCCTGGTTTTGATAGTCTGGCTTCCCCGTCAACCACATCGACTTCCAATAGCCCCTCTTCATCTTCACCAATGTCACTCTCCTCTCGTTCAGAATCCGCATCACCTCCATGCTCGTCGTCTTCGGCTTCTTTAGGTTGGCCATCGTGATCACGATCGATTCTCGGGTCTTCCCCATCATATTCCTCTTCAGGAGAATACCTGTCATCACCGTGTTCCTCTGGTTCTCCTTCGACGCCTGCAACAGCTGGATTGATATCAGATTCACCATCCTGATCTCTCTGGTTATCTTTCTTCCTTCTCCTCCGCCTCCGTGGTTTCTTGGGCGGAGGTTCCTCTTGTTGTGTCTCCTGACCTGCTGTGGCCTCGTCTTCATGCCCCACACCTGACAGTATGCGATGAAGTATCGTAGCCAAGCCGTCTGGTCTTGGTAAACATCTCCCGTCATCATCGTTCACCTTAATGTATGGTATGTTGTCATGTACCGATAGCGGAATCTTGTTCGCGTTCTGGTCGATGAGGTATGGCAATTGGTTTGCCGGCCATATGAATGAGTACCCTTGTTCCATGCACCGTTTCCCGATGGAGAAGACTGATGGTGTGCTCTCCAACACGTGTGCCTCGGATCTCATGGGTAGTTCGTCCACATTGATGTCCACCATCTCTGATGTACTAGTTACACCATTCGCTGTCATGAAGCTCACGGATTTGGGTCCTTCCTTGGTGGTAAGGCCCATGGCATTGACTTTCTCTCTTGAGATCAAGTCGTGTCCACATCCCGTGTCCATGATGAAGCGTATCGGTGGTCCATCATACCTCTCCACAGCCATGAACATCGTGTCTCCTGGTATCGTGTAGTTGACAGAATCCTTCCTTACTACCTCGCTGGTGTTGAAGTCAGACAGGTCGACGTTCACCTCGATTCCTTCATCTTGAGAGATTTGTATCCATGCCTTGGCAATGTGTTCAGCAGAAAATAGCTCCATCATCTTACCTTTGGCATGTGCTACTCGTGCAGCTATATTGCTCACTCTGAGGGCTCTCAACGACGAAATGAGCTCGGTATCCACCTTCTGCACCTCACTCTTCTTCTTCCTGAGGGGACGGGTGTTTAGCTCGTTACCAGGATCGCAGGGGAACGTGGTCACATTCGCCTGGTCATCGAATCTGACTTTAAAGCGAAGCGCCAACTCACCTTGTTGTACGTTGGGAAGTGCGGGTTGTACGTCCTCGTCATCACTCTCGATGTCTCCGCAAAGCATGAAGGCTGGCGCAGCCGGTTTAGGTTTGGCTTTGCCTTTAGCCTCTTGTTTTGTAGCAGGGGCAGCGTGATGCTGACGTCGACATTTGTCCCCGAACTTGCACGATCCTTTCTGCCAATTCCAACAGACCTGATCCTTCATTGGCTTAGGGCTACTGCTCCTGCCACCAGGACTCTTTGATCTGTCACCCTTGAGGCTTTCTGGTTTCTTAGCAGAACTTTTGTGCTTCTCTTGGTGACTAAACTTGCATTTGTCTCCTCTAGAACATCCGTTTTTCCCATGGAAGTGGAAAGCGCATCCTATCTTGGACGTATCTGCCGGAGTCGCTGACCTGCCACGATCCCCCTTTGGGCTCTTCGTGGTTGACCTTCCACGATCCTGCTTCTTGTCCTTCTTGTGGTGATCCTTCGGATTAGCCTGAGGAAGTACTGGAGCGGCGTCAAGCTTCGGTGGATCGGCCTTGGTATTCTTGGGCTTCGCTTTAGGGTCCTTCTTCTCCGCCGCTGGTGTGGCTTTCACGAGGTTCCCAAAAGCTTTTTCCCTTTCTTTCTTGTTTGTGGTCTCGATTGATTTCCGTATCCACTTCGCCATGATCTCTCGTAACTTCTGGTAGGTCTTATCCGGATCCTTATCCAACATGTTGTCGTACACGGACAAGTCTAACGCCATAACTTTGGAATCCTTAATCTTATCCCAAAGCAGGTTGCGGAGTGCTTTGTCAGGAAGCATGTCATCCGCATCCATACCTGATATGATCTCATCCCACTGTCCAAGGAATCTGGATAGTTGATTATCCCCAGGGAACTTTAGATCGAATAAGTGCTTGGATGCATACATCACATCAACGTTGTCGGCACTCCGGAAGCTACCGACGATCAACGCTAACATTTCTCGTCCCTTGACCATTCCAGGGGTTGTGCCTCTCGCACGTCTCTGCATCATCTGCCTCACCTTCAGTTGTACGTCATGAGATCTTTCACCTGCTGCGTGGATGATCGTATGTAGGGTGATACCTAGCTTAGCGTCTATGCTAGCGAATCTTGCTTCACCTGATGTCTCGAGCAGAAATGGGTCATATGGTGATCTGAAGGCATCCGAGAGCCACTGGATCCAGTCTTCTTGCCTTTCGTCGCCCGATGCCGTCACGACTGCCGCTACAACCTGGGATTTCCAAACCTCCAGGTCGTGTATCTTGGGCCATGCAGGGATGTTGATTTTCTCGTGTTCCTTCCGAGATATCTTGGAGCCACCCGAGCTAGAGGATGAGGCGGCACCATGTTCGGTTGCGGCTGCATTCTCTGCATTCAAGCGCTCCTCTTCGTACCTCCTCCGGTACTTATTCCTCTCATCTCTGAGCCGTGCTGCATGCGCTTCGAATTCCATCATGTCCTGTTGGTTCTGCATCATACCTTCGTAGTACTCCATTGCCTCTTTCTCCTCGGACCTTAATGACTTCTCGGTACGTCCAAGTTCCGCTCTAAGCTTGGTCATCATCTCATTCTCCACATTGGGTTCCGATCCCATGTCTGGTGGTTTCAACGTCAGTGCGACCTTCAATTGTGCTTCACTTGCGCTCGATTCGATCAGTTCTTCCTGAAGACGTTTCAGCATCCTCTCTTTCCGTAGAATGTCTTCTTCCAACATGTTCACCTTGACTTCAGCTTTCTTGAGTTCGACGTTGGATGGTTGAGACGGTCGATCGGATCCTTGAATCCTCGCCTGCGTCAACTCCTCGTTCGCCCTCTTCAATTGTTCCCTGATGGTCATGATGAAATTGTCCTGATTATAAGATCGGTTGTTGAGCTCCTCATTCTCTTCTGATAACCATTTGATCTTGCTTGCATACATTGCTTCCTTCATCTTCATCTCCTCAGCATATTCGTGTTTGTTCCTGGCGCTCTGCCTTTGTAGTCCAACTAACTCCTGTCTATACAGATCCCTAATGTTCTCAGCATCTGCGACTGCAGTCATGACCTCGGTTACGGCTCGATCTCTTTCCGCCGATATAGCCTGGATCTCTTCCGTGCCGATGTTCACAACTTGACTAACCATCTCTGCGCTGTTGCGATCAGCGTACTCCCCTAACTGGGTGAGACGATCCCGCATTGCCACACGATCAGTGTCAATCTGGTATTGCAAATCGTGTGCTGCTGAGAGCAAACAGTCTCTGGATTCCGTAAGTTGGGAGATTCTTCGTTGATTTCCATATCCTTCGACATAACATTCTTCGAGGTGTGCCATCACTACTTCGTGGACTTCGGCCTCGTGTTGTATAATCTGGTTCTGTCTTTGCTCACATTCGACCATCCATGCGTTTTGGTGGTTCAACATATGCACTTCGGCAAGTAGTTGCGCACACTTCGCATTCAGGTCTCCATCGGCCCGTGCTAGTTGTAGGTTGTCAGTGCTTGCCCTTGCTCCATCTCCAGCTTCGCTGTCCGACGGCACTGGTACAGTTGACCCATCCTCCAATGCTAGCACTCTCACTGCTCCGGTGTCAGTCCTCCTCCTTGTCTCCCTAGGGCTACGGCCTGACCTCGGTGTCCCCCCCGCTGGTGTCGATTGCGCTGACGGGGAACGACTTCGCGCTCTACCTGTCGCACCTTCTCTCACCACTGTCAGAGTCTCCGCTTCGATCGTACCTGGACTAGAGTTGTGGGATGCACTCACCCGATCCGCGGCCGCAGCGGCTGCTCCAAAAGATGCAGTGCTGGCGTCGGATTGGTCCATCTTCAGTGACTGAGGGTAACTGATCTATCCGATGCGTGTGCGTTTAGATGGTGTTGTGTAAGGCCGCAGCACGTACCCAGCTCAAAGGAGTCTGGATACGGCTGATAACCTGCGAACGGATGGAAAGGTGTGCCCTGGCCCCGTTCTAGCCCTTAGTTCAACATGAAGCTCGCGCGCTAAAGCTCCTTTTTACCTGGTTGGGCACTTGAGCCAAAAGTATATGGCATGTACCTATATAGCAACTATACTGGGACCTCATCCCTATTGACAAATTTAATTAGAAGTCTAATTAATAGCTTTTTTTGGACGAAGCCTTGAGACTTGACCAAACCAGTGCCGTCAACTTTGGCTCCCAAATATGCCTGGAGAATGAACTCATACTCTGCGTGTTCAAAGAAACCAGGCCTCAAGGAGAAACGCGTCGAAGTTTTTTCCGGTTGGAGGTCATTGGTAGTTCCTTTTGCTATTAGGTCGGAGGCCATCGCTACTAGTAACAAGAAGGTACTAGGGGCTCCTGGCATCGCAACTAGGAGCAAGGACGCTACTAGGGGCTCCTGGCCATACTATGAACGGAGCAAGTAGCTACTAGCAACAAGAAGCTAGGAACAAAGGCTTCTACGTTGGCCATCACTATCGCTTCTTGAGACCCCAGCCCTGGCGCCGAAATGCCCAAAAAATGCAAGCCAAGCTGATAGCCTCACGAATCCAGCAGGAAGCCATGACTTGCTAGAATCAAAAGACCAAGAAAGAGCAGTCTGACTGCTATAACTCACAGCCCGGCGTATTGATTTTGGATCTCCCCTGAGTTCGAGAACCGAAGAATGCGTAAAGAGTAAAGTAAAACTTGCTAAATGTTCCTAGTAAGAATGCTCCTAGTAGCGATGCCAGGAGCCCCTAGTAGCTTCTTGTCTTTAAATGCAACGAGTCTTCAGTTGCAACAAATGCAAATGCCAATTCATGCATTGTTGCCTCTGGGCATTTGGCCGCATTCCTGGGCGCGGGGAATCGTTTCACCTGTAACAGAAACAAGTTTTTTAGGTCTTTGTTTGCTACTAGTTAACAAGAATATACTAGGTTGGAGGCCATCGCTATCAGGGTGGAGGCCATTACTACTAACAATAAAACTTTCTAGGAATTTGAAGCTTCTTAGTAACAAGTGCCTTACTACTAGTAACAAGAAGCTAGTAGAAACAAGTGCCACGCTACTAGTAACAAGTGCCTTACTACTAGGAAGAAGAAGCTTCTTAGTAACTAGAAGCTTTTGGGGTAGGCCGCTAGCCGCTAGCAGAAAAAGTGTCCGCCCTTTGAACATCCTCTGCCCACACCTGAAAGCAAAGGGGAAAGCAAGCGGCATCACCCAAATTGCTCAATCTCCGATGGAGCCATTGTAATGAAACAATATTTACATGTTCGTCTTGACCTGCTCCTGTTGGTACCCATCTGCTTGAACGAGTCATTGAAGCTTTAGTCACCTCACTACAAATTAACATCCGGCAGGTGTTCCTGGTCTGTATTGCACTGTGTCTAGTCTGCTGCTGTTTCTTTGCTTCTTTGTTCCCTCTCTTCCCTAAAAGCTGGCGGAGTGCGAGCAAGCAAATATGAAAACTACGGGGCACATTTGTTCCAAGCTATTAGGGAAAGAACAGCTTTCAGAAACTCATTAACTTAGTGGCAACAGCACTTGAAAAGTGTAAACTGTAAAGCACGCAAAACAGCATCCCCAACTTGTGTTCAGCCCGACTTCAAGTGCTTCATCCACAACAAGGAGTGAACGTCTGCCTCCATCAGTTGGGTCAACCATGGGGTTGTCAACGGACGTCTTTGTAAAGTAGAACATTTCAAGCTATTACTAACAAGTGCATCGCTACTAGTAACAAGTGCCTTACTACTAGTAACAAGAAGCTACTAGTAACAAGTGCATCGCAACTAGTAACAAGTGCCTTACTACTAGTAACAAGAAGCTACTAGTAACAAGTGCATCGCTACTAGATGCTACTAGTAACAAGTGCCTTACTACTAGTAACAAGAAGCTACTAGTAACAAGTGCATCGCTACTAGTAACAACAATGAAGATGGTTGCGGATTGCTACAGCAGTCGCCCAACCTGTTTCGCTGGTGATCTCCTTCAATTTGTTGCCGTACGTTTGGCCAAAGGACTCAGAATTCCCATTCAACTGGGATCTGGACCCTTGTACTCTTGCACTTCTCATTTTTAAGCCCGCGCTTACTTAAACAAGTTGGCGTCTACTGGGGGCTCCTGGCATCGCTACTAGGAGCAAGGACGCTACTAGGGGCTCCTGGCCTTACTACTAGGAACAAGAAGCTATTAGTAGCTAGAAGCTACTAAATCAAGGGAGAAGTTCGCTCCTAGCTACTAGGCCGCTACTACATGTGGACGCAGCTCACGCTTCCTTGAAGAAGCGCTCGCACGAATGATTTGGTTCCTAGTAGTGAACATTGCTCCTAGTAGTAAGGCCAGCAGCCCCTAGTAGCGTCTTTGCTCCTAGTAGCGATGCCAGGAGCCCCTATATAGTAGCTTCTAGCCCCTAGAGAGTTGGTTCCTAGATTTTTGGGGAAACTTAACTACTAGTAGCGTCCTTGTTCATAGTAGCGATGGCCTCCAACCTAATAGCGATGGCTTCCACATAGTAGCGTCCTTGTTCCTAGTGATAACACCTGCGGCTACCTTGGAAATTTGTTTCTGCCGCTGTTTGCTCCAAAGACTTGCGCCAAGGTGCAATGTGCAATTGAACAAGAGTTGCAATAGGAATTTCGATTGCAGCCCTTTTTGCCACAAGCACATGGCGCATTGCGGAAGAGGTTGTGTAGGAGGTCCAAACCGAAGTTTTGGACTCTTGAGACAAAATTGGTTCATACCACTGCTGTTCTCCAATGTGCGAACGAAGCTACATATATGTCATGCCTTGTGGAGAGTGTGCTACACCCTATCGTGCACGCTGGTCAACACGAGACGTAACAAGTGCCACACAGCGCTGCCCCAAGAAACCACCTGCCCGGACGCCCTTCGACCAAATTGAAAAGAACGACTCCTCGGTTTTATTCTCGCGAGAGACGGATGAGGAGCTCCCTTCTTCGTGAAGTCTTTGCCTTACTAGTAGTAACAAGAAGCAATGAAACTTAAATTGCACAGACTGCGGGTGTACTGCAATTGGCCCCGAGTTGGCAAACACGGAATCCCTGAGAGAGTGGTCACCCAAGAACACAACCCCCAACGAACTGAAGAAATCCATTGGTTGGATGGCCGCCTCGCTCGTACTTGTTGGTTTGTCTTTTGTTGTTTTGTGTTGTTTGGAGGAACCTGACCGACAGCAACACTGTAGTTGGAGTCTTGAAGTTTTAAACATATTTTGGTAGCGTTTTCAAATGTTTAAAGAGCTTTTTGTTTCATTGCTTCTTGTTACTACTAGTAAGGCACTTGTTACTAGAAGCGATGCACTTGTTACTAGTAGCTTCCTGTTACTACTAGTAGCTTTTTGTAAAGAGTTGTTTTTTTTTTGGGCATGCGTATGTACAGTCCTCGAGTGACTGTTACTTCTTGGCCCAAGAGTGAGCAAGAGGGCGCGAGGGAGTTCCTATCACAACCCCTTAACTCACTTCGTTCGCCCTAAAAGCTCAAGCCTTGCCTATTGGCTGGCTTTCTATATAATATCAATATATACATATACACATATATGTATATAAATACAAGGCTTCCGGCCACACCCATAACGGCATACTCATGTAGGGTACCTAGTTGAGAGACTGGGCCCACAATGACGACGACTCTCTGTCCTCTTTTGAATGGTGACCGGCAATGGCCTCCAACCTACTAGCGATGGCCTCCAACCTAAGGGGGGAACCCCCAGCTTCTTCCACTAGGACGCGCGACCACCGCTACCGTCTACAGGGAATCAATCTTACTTTGAGACACCTTTCCTTCATGCAATAATGCGTTGCCGTGTCGATAATGTGAGACAAAGCCGGCATCCCGTTGCCTGTGCATGAACAATCCAAGTGTGTCTTGGGCCGTTCTGTAAAAGGCGTATAAGGGGTATCTTCAGCCGTGCTACCCCAACCACCAGGCCCAGTTCCTTTTGCCAATGCATCGAGCCGTTCTTCTTGTTGGGTTTTGAACGTCGTTGCCGGACAGGGTGCGGGATTGATCCTTGGACCCGTTGCTGGGTGAGACGCAACAGGCCATCGTGTTGGCTTGTTCATCGCCGCTGTTTCATGGGTCAGCCACTACGTCCCGCAGGTGCTGCAATCCTCAGGCACATGCTCTCCCCTCTCCGAAGCATTTAATAACAAGAAGCTACTAGTCACAAGGGCATTACTACCAGTAGCATTCTTACTACTAGGAACAAAGCAGCTACTAGGAGCTCCTGGCCTTACTATATACTAGGAGCAAGGACGCTACTAGGGGCTCCTGGCATCGCTACTAGTAACAAGAAGCTATTAGCTTATTGTTTCTAATAGCTTCTTGTTACTACTAGTAAGGCACCTGTTACTACTAGCGTGGCACTTGTTACTACTAGTAACAAGAGGATGCTGTTGTCTCAAGACTAGACCGTCGAGGCCTGCAAGCGCACTGAATGAACACAATCGGACACCAAAAGATGAGCGACCGGCAAAACTAGACCGGCAAAACTAGGGGTCGTTTGGTGGTACGTTTAGAGCATGGTATCGTTTTTGGGATTGGTATCGTCTAAATGTAATTTGCTCTGGAAGGTGATCTTGCAAATGATGACTAGTAGTCGTCGTGTACTAGTACTACTCGTAGTACTACGTAGTAGCAAAGTAGTAGTAGTGGTAGTAGTAGTAGTAGGAGTAGCAGTAGCAGTAGCAGTAGTGGTAGTGGTAGTGGTAGTCGTGGTAGTGGTAGTTGTAGTTGTTGTTGTTGTGGTTGTCGTCGTCGTCGTAGTCGTACGTAGTAGTAGTCGTCGTCGTCGTCCTCGTCGTCGTCGTGTAGTAGTAGTAGTCGTCGTCGTCGTCGTCGTAGGAGTAGCAGTAGCAGTAGTAGTCGTCGTCGGTGGTAGTAGGAGTAGCAGTAGCAGTAGCAGTAGTAGTAGTCGTCGTCGTAGTAGTGGTAGTAGTAGTAGTAGGAGTAGGAGTAGCAGTAGCAGTAGCAGTAGTAGTCGTCGTCGTCGTAGTAGTGGTAGTAGGAGTAGCAGTAGCAGTAGCAGTAGCAGTAGCAGTAGTAGTAGTCGTCGTCGTCGTAGTAGTGGTAGTAGTAGTTGTTGTAGTCGTAGTCGTAGTAGTCGTAGTAGTCGTCGTCGTCGTAGCAGTAGTAGTAGTAGTCGTCGTCGTCGTCGTCGTCATAGTAGTAGTATAGTAGTAGTAGTAGTAGTAGTAGCAGAAATAGAAGTAGTGGCATGTGATTGGGCAGGTGGTGTCTGAGGGGATACAGACCTATGAAGTGGGTATCGTTTGGTATCGTTTTTGGTATCGGTCTGAACCCATAATTGTTTCCCATCGAAGAAAAAGAAGGGAAACTTAGCAAAAATGAAATGGACTGTCCAGCTAGCATGGCAAACCATATGCAAAAAAACCTTGGACATACACTGTCTCGAGTGTCAACATTGTCAACAGGCAAAGATAGATTCCAAGATGTGTACCGTCACAAGGCTAGGTATCGTTTTTGGGATTGGTATCGTTTTTTCAAGGAAAATGCAAATTGCTCATTTTTGAAGTAGCACTTTGCTCAGATGGCCTACTAACAATGGCCTCCACCCTTGTAGCGTCCTTGTTCCTAGTAATGCCAGGAGCTACGAGTAGCGTACTTGGCTTTCTGTTCTGCTTGTCCCAAGTTCTCCCACATTTCCCTGAGTGCGCTACGACCAACTGAACGCCGAGACAAGCCCCACCTGGAACAGAACTGAAGCGAAAAACATTCCACCTGTGAAAATGTTCGGCAAACATGTGTGCATTTTCACCAAATTCCACGACGGCAAAAGCGCGGTGGGCGACATCCGAAAGAGAACCACAAAGAGATTGCAAGACGGCCGCTTCTGGAACCCAGGAGCATGGCATTACCAATAAGAAAAAGCTACTAGGAGCAAAGGGCATCGCTACTAGGAGCAAGGACGCACTGGGGGCTTGTAAACACACGCAATCGCCCCAGGACCAAGCTGTGACGAACAGATTTGGCGGGCGCGGCGGAGTTTGATGAGCGCAGCGAGCCCATTCCTGGTCTGCGAACCTGTTGCTAGTAGCGATGCACTTTGCTACTGGTAGCGTCCTTGCTCCTGGAAGCGATGGCCTCCAACCTAGAAGCCTTTATTTCTAGTAGCTTCTTGTTCCTAGTGGTAATGCCAAGAGCTGCTCTAGTAGCTTCTTGATACTAGTAGTAAGGTG